AATAAATTGAATTGAAAGAAAAAAAATTAATAGATATATGGTAATCTGTTAGAATTCGTACAAGAATTGTAATACATGAATGTTGTAAGGTCCATTCACAGAAAAGAGGGTTGAACTAGCAAAAACAGCTTCAGATAATCTACTTCCTGTTTTGTGTTTTTCAAGATGCCTGTCCCATTTTCATCTTATATTCCTAAATTGCCTAGAAATACTTCAAAGGAAAATAAACTTCTCTGAACTATGCAAAAAAACTCGTCAAACCACAAACTCAGCTAAAATTCCCTTATCACACTTGACAGAGAGGTATCTCACCAATGGCACACGTATGAGGGTTACTTATGACGAAATATTCACCAGATGTCATCAAGGCTTGGGTTGTCTGATGGGGCAATCGTGTGACAGCATTTCCTGAAATTTTCCTGACGTTTATCCCATGTTTTAGAGACCGGACAAATTCTTGGTAACGGAAGTTACAATTCTACCTTTTCTGTTACATCTTGAAGTGAAATTAATAACTCGGAAAACCAAACATACTCCATAATAATCCTCACTAGCTCCTCCGTCACCACAAAAATCAGCACGACCCACTTTTCATTTTTTCAGCTGTAATCTTAGTAACGGAAGTTACAACCTTAACTGTTCACTCTGAATCCTGCTATTGTGAGAGGGAATTTCTTTCCACGGGCTTCTCCTCTTCATTTTCTGCATTGCGTATCAAAAAGAGCAAACTTAAGTAATATTTACCCGATGTAAATCATTTGCAGTATTTATTTCTAGGCCATTTGTGATCTGCCCTCAGATCGGTAACGGAAGTTTCATAAAAATAGCGGACACAAGTTCACTGTAGTTAAAAGCAACAAAACTGACCTGCAGTGAGAAATGATCATGTAGGACTTTATGTCCCTCCTGAGACATTGGATTGATTATTTTCCATAGTATAAGGCGACAAGCACAAATATACTGTAACATTCTATACCCACCCTCTCTGTGGACATAGCAAAATTGCATTTTTTGGACACTTTTGGCCTTGATTCCCTCAAAGTTACTGTCTACAGGAGCACAAAGGGGTACTGTCGCTATTTATTTGGGCATATTTTAAGTATTTTTCAGCGAAATGATTATGGGAAAACAATTTGAGTCCCCAAAACTTGCCATGGACACCAAAAAATGGTAATTTACCCACTTAACGTGGAATGAGTGAAAATCACAACGTTTCTGCGTCCAGGAATTGGATTTTAGCTAACAGAACAATGCCTACCAGTGTATGTTTCATACCTTAGCATGGGTTTCCTAGATATTGGAAGTAAAAAACATCAAGGACAGCGTCGGCAAGAGCATCTTCTCTCAAACGACTGAGATTGCGTTACTTTTCAAAGATTGACCGCTTACCACTTGTTTTTGGGCTCGCCTTTCAACAGTAATACTTTCACGAGACATTAACCCATTCGCCCCTGAACCGCCTGTAACCACCCGTGCGGATCCACGTCCTTTCTATCCTTTGTGACGTCATCAGTTTTGACGGTCAAGGACAACTTTTTCCACTAACTTGTGCAGAGTGAAGAGATCTTTCAAACCATACCAGAATGAGCACAATTCAGTCAAGGACACCGGAGAAAGAAGCAAAAAACCATGTGACATTGACCTGAAAATCTCCATGAAAATCTTGTTCCATTGCTCACCTACCTTTCCCTTCACCTAATCCTAAGATCCTAAAAGCTTTTTCCCACCAAAACAAAGCCTACTATATGCCCAGCAAGATAAAAAAAAAAAATGAGGCAAGAAAAGCGAAAAAAGAGGGGAGGAGAGAAAGCGAAAAGTAAAAGTCAAGACTGCTGTGTCACTTTTAAACCCAAAAGCAAAACATTTTGCTTTCTGCGCATGCCCGAACTTCGCGAGCTGATATTTTGCATCTGGATCAGAAGGCCGCGAAGTGTACGACCTGTAAACCAGTTTGTGGTAAGTTTTAACTCTTTATAGCACGACAGTGACCAGAAAACCACTCGACTAGCTTCAAAACGTGTTTTTCGGCAAAATCTCCAGGAGCGAATGGGTTAAGCAAAGTACCAAGCTTTTTGAAAAAAATCCACTTTTCAGCATAAAACAACCAAATCTGTCTATTTCATGTAAAATCAGGTGAAAAAGTTGGTAAAAGGCCATTTTTAGGTTTTTTGGTTAACTGAATTTATCGGAAATATGCCACCACCAACAACAACTCGGGCATTTGTCGGGTATTTGTCGTTTTTTTGTAGCCATGTTTTTGGAAAAACGTAGGACAACTATAGTTTGATGGCCGATTGGTTTCATCCAGCCTCCATCAAAAACTCCTGGATCCGCCCACAATTTTTTTTCAGGACGTAGTTCAAAAATAGCATTGTGTTTTCTTTTATCGCAGCAAGTAAGAGTTTTCGTGGGTAGAAATGTTAATGAGACTCTCATCGTTTAACTTGATGTGAGCAGTTGTCCCTGTGGTAGATCTCAGCATGCCGGTGTAACTTTGAAACACGTGCCATGTTGGATTAATGTTACAGAGCTTAAGATTTGAGGACGAGAACGAGTACGAGTACGAGATTTAACGTGAAGTTTTTGCGCGTGTTCTAAAAAAAAAAGACCGCCTGGAAGGCTTCGTTTTACTTTTTTCACCAAAAATGTTAGTAGGGTTACTGAAGAAGGTTATAAGCCCTCTCCCGATAGCGAAATGCTATTTATAAAACCCTCTTTCATTTGATAACTTGTTCCTGCCACTACGTACGACTGCCTCGTACCCAGACGTCTCTCTCAATGAAAATGTCCGCACAAAGGAAGGCGGGAAGCAGAAAATTGCGCTTCTTTACCAGTCACTTGAGTTTCGCGCTCGCCCGTATGCGAAACCATACAAAAAACGGAGCGCCTGAGGAGGAGGCAGCCACTACGACTTCCTCGTAGTACTCGTAGTAGAATGACGACGGCTATCACGTTTTCCCGCTAAAATGACACTAGTTTCTACGCGAGCAATACTCAGTATGGAGAAAATCCCCTCTCATAATCTAAAGCTCTATGTTGATGCTACTGACAATTTCACTCAAAAATGAGTCCTTATTTACCAGCCGGAATATATGACAAAACTATGTATACCGGCTTCTAGCTTAAGACATGCTCTTATAAATGGTGCATTTACTGTCTTATTCAAGAAGCGTGGTCGATCTGTTTTGTGTGTGATCTCGGAGTCTTTTTTGTTTGTTTGTTTTTATACCGTTTCATAAAAAGGTTTAAAGATTTATTTCTGGTGACATTTTTCGAAAGTCGTTATCAGCACTATACCGTGAGTTGGTGGTGTGTCTTACCTTGCTGAAAAGGCCGAAAACTGAAAGTTTGTGTAAATAAAAAATACGCCTACCCTGAATACCTTATAGCGCCGAGGAGCGACAAGAAAAAAAACAAAACTTCTATTTTTGTCAGCAGTTTTCAATTACACAAACATTATACAGCCTACAGAATTACTTGTTGTAAGAAGTCCATAACATGCTCCTGTCGGTGTGAGTTTCCTCAAGGCCGAAAATAATAGCTAAAAGGAAGGCACACAGCTTGAACTAACCAGGGAGAAGGGGCTTCTGATTGAACTAAAATGTAATTCCCCGGGCAACCACTGCCCTTCTGGCTCGTGGATGGGGAGTTGTTTGAAGCGGTCGGACTTTCGGGAGTAGGGGGCGGGGGCAAATCGAAAATAACTTGTCTTTGTTTTTTTAAAGTACATCATCGGTCTCGCGGCGGACGGACTCCGTAGCTGTGGAAAGGTCCTTGTGAAACATGTCCCGCCCACAAGCAGGCAGGGAATCACGTAGTTGACGCCAGCACCTTGAATTGACTCAACTCTGATCTTTGGACAGGGAGAGGAGATAAGTTCCATCTTAAGTGATATTTGATGTCCAGAAGTGAATAGTATGTCCACCGACGTTTTTCCTTTTGTTTTCGACCATTTGACAGCACGCGAGTGAACCGAAGCGCAGTAACGAACCATAACCCCACCCCATTGCCCTTGCGGTCAATAAATCCTCGCGCTCAGGAGCCCATCTCCTGTCGCGCTTTATATTTTTATATACGCGCTCGAGAATCTCAAAAAAGGTTCGGATATAGAGGATCTGCGAAGAGGTTTCAGTTTCAGTTTATTTCACCGGCAAAAAAACAAAACAAAACAAAAGACAAGAAAACAGAAATACACAGAAGCAAAGCGGTGAGGAAGTTCAAAAAGAAACCATAAGGCTAAGGCCTTGCCCTTTTTATTCGTTTAGTGTCTATTGATTTTCCTGATTTTGGATCGGTTGGTGGGGTGAAAGATAGAAACAGAAAACAAAAACAAAAAACAAGAAATCTCAGCGGAAAAGGAGGCCTCAAACATTAGCATCATTGTCGTGGAGCCTGAAAACAACAAGACATAATCATCAAATCGACACAAACTCAATATGGCGGAAACAACGATCTTAAAATTTGTAGGAAATACTACAGAAAGGACAATGAAACTTACTCTGCAGTTAGTTGTTTCTGTCCTTAACACTCAAACGCATTTTCGGGATAATTTGCTCAAATTCATCCTCCATATAATATAATACACAAGGTAGGAGGCACGAGAGAGCGTCTCGGCCGCCTTGCTCCCTTTCCAACACAACGTTTTCCACGAAATTCGAACTGCAACGGTAAATCATCATGGTAGGATCGGAGAAGTAGGATTGCATCAGATATAGAAACCAATGAAGTTTTCCCAGCTAGCTGGCCACTTCGGCGTAAGAAGGTTTTGAATCATATCCTTCGATTTTGTCCAAGTCTGCTGGATTCGTTTCTCTCGCTGGGAAAGCTTCATTGGTGAATTTGAGTAAATTATCACGAAACTTCTTTTCACCAACACCATGTTTCGCCTACCGACCCCTAACAATACGTCTTAGATGCACCCTCGATCTAAGCATTGACATCTTTTTGACTACGCCGTTATCAGGGCAAGAGACAGACGGGATGCGAGGGTGACAAAGGCGATGCGCGACGCTGACTGCTGGTCTAATCACCACCTCATCATCTCCAAACTCAACCTCCATATTCAGTCGAAGAGAAGGCCCCAAGGGCAGAAGGTCACCAATCGAGTGAATGTGACAAAACTGAAAAACACTGAGACTGTAAATGATCTTCAGTCAGTTATGAACAGAAACCTTTCCAACCTCCCCACCCCCTCTAATGACATTGAAGAAGCGTTGGCCTCCTTTAGGGACACGGCCCACTCTACTGCCCTCGAAGTCCTCGGTCTGACCACCAGAAACCACCAGACGCCCGTAATCCATGTACTACTGGAGGAAAAGCGCCGCCTACTTCGGGCCAACCATAGCGACCCCTCCTGCCCAGCGGAAAAGGCTGTCTTCACCAACCTGCGCAGCCAGATACAGACAAAGCTCCGCTCTTTGCAGGACACCTGGAACAGTGCCAAAGCAGACGAGACTCAGGGCTATGCAGACCGGCATGAAACCAAGCGGTTTTACACTGCCCTTAACGCTGTCTACGTACGGACCTCAACCCTGCGGGTCTTGCCCCGTCCTTGGACCTGATGGAACACCCTGCTTACTGAGAAAAAACAGATCCTGGAGAGATGGGCCGAACACTTTGACAGTGTCCTCAACCGCCCCTCTACAATCAACGACGCAGCCATTAAACATCTTTCACAAGCTCCGGTGAACCTGGAACTCGACTCTCCCCCAACGACTGAAGAAGTGGTGAAAGCCCTCAAGGAAATGTCCGCCGTGAAGGCCCCAGAATCGGATGCAATCCCTGCCGATGTGTACAAGGCTGGTGGCCTTCTCCTGCTGGACGAGATCACCCAACTCTTTCAGCCCTTCTTGGATAAAGAGCAACTACACCAAGAGTTCAGAGACGCCACAATCGTCCACATCTACAAGCGCAAAGGAAACCGGCATTCCTGCGACAATCATCGCGATATCTCTCTTCTCCCCATTTCCTGCAAGGTCTTAGCCCGCGTGCTGCTCAACCGCCTCCTCCACCATCTGGGGCAAGGTCTCCTCCCTGAGAGCCAGTGCGGCTTCCGCGCAGGTCAAGGAAAGGTCGACATGATATTTGCCGCCCGCCAGCTTCAAGAAAAGTGTACGGAACGGCACCGCGACCTCTACACCACCTTTGTGGATCTCTCCAAGGCCTTCGACACAGTCAGCAGGGACGGATTGTGGAAAATCATGAGCAAGTTTGGCTGCGCCCACAAACTCATCACCGTTGTTCGCCAGTTCCATGAGGGCATGCAAGCCCTAGTCCTTGATGATGGTGAGCCGTCAGAATCCTTTCCAGTCTCCAACGGTGTAAAGTAAGGCTGTGTCCTTGCTCCGACACTGCTCAGCTTGATGTTCTCTGCTATGCTGACAGATGCATTCATAGATTGCGACGCTGGCGTCAGGGTCAGACATACGCCAGACGCGAAGTTGTTCAACCTGAGACTTCTGCAGGCCTTCACAAAGGTGAAGGAGACTGCAATCAGGGACTTTCTCTTTGTGGACGACTGTGCCCTCAACGCCAGAAGTCAACAAGAGATGCAACTGGAAATGGACAGGCTCTCCACAGCCTGTGATAACTTCGGTCTCACAATCAGCACCAAAAAGGACTGAAGTGATGTTTCAGCCAGCTCCCAGCAACCCATACCAGGACCCCATCATCACAGTCAAAGGCCAGAAACTCCAGGCTGTTGAAAATGTCACTTACCTCTGCATCACCCTCTCACACAACATAATTTCCAACGCCAGCAGTGCGTTTGGGCGGCTCAGGAAGACAGTTTGGGAGAGAAGAGGAATTCACCTTGCCACCAAACTCAAAGCAGTAGTGCTCACAACCCTCCTATGCGGTTGCGAGACCTGGACTGCCTACAGACGGCACGAAAAGCAGCTGAACCACTTCCACCTACGATGCCTCTGGACACTCCTCAACATTCGGTGGCAGGACAAAATCTCCAAAACTGTGGTTCTACAGAAAGCCAAGATGCCCAGCATTATTACCTTCATGCGCAAGGTCCAAATCAGATGGGCAGGTTATGTCACTCGCATGCCTGATGTTCGAATCGCGAAGCAGTTGCTCTACGGGGAGCTCTTCCAAGGAAAGCGCTTTGTTAGTGGCCAGCGCAAGCGATTCGAGGACTGCCTCAAGGTCTCTCTGATAGATTTCTCAATAGACAGTTAGACCTGGGAGAACCTTGCTGCCGACCGTCCAACCTGGCGCAACCTCATTTATAGCAGAGCCCATGTAGCCGAAGACAACAGAACTGGCACCGCAGGAAAGGCACGCGAGACGCTCAAGGCCATAGCTACAAGCAACCAGCAAACCACCCTAATTCACATGTGTCCAACTTGTGGGAGAGGGTTCCACGCCCGGATGGGCCTCATCAGCCACCTCCGGACAGCCAAAGCGAACTCCAAGAAAAGCTGAGGATGTCATGGTCACCTTCGACTCCGAAGGACGAACAACAACAATAACTGTGGTACTATCACAGAGCCTGGGTTACCTGTGCTGAAGTTAAGTAGGCTTGAGATCTACTTTGGAACGACGAAGATTCAACAGATTTTGAGGCATGACTGCGCGCAGCCAAAACATGAAAAGTGGTTTTTGTATGAAAAGTCATAAGCTTTCTTAATTGTTGTTTCAAACACTTTTTCATCTGCTATTATTATTTTCTGCGGGAATTAAATTTTTAGGCTCCCTACGGAAATGCGATTCATGCATATTACTAGGTTGACGCAGGAGCTCCTGGCATGCTTTTTCTATATGCAAAGTTTCTAACCATATGAAATCTATTGTTTCTTTAATTAGATACTTATTCTACATTTAAATTTCTGTCGTTATTCAATGGTTAATTACTTCCAAAGATATATGTTGGAACATACGAAACGTCAAGTTAAAAGTTTCATTTTTTTTCCAGAAAAGCATTTATATTTTCTTCTGTTTATCACCATAGTTTGCTTTTTGTTTCTTCTTAAACGTAGCCTTAACATATCCCAGCCAACGCCCCTAAACTCCATCCCTGTCTAATTATTTTCTCTTTCCAAAATGAAATCAGTACTTGATGGGCACTTACTTTAAACACTTTTACACCTTAACAATTAAAAAAAGATTGACTCTGCGAACACCAATTTGCTGGAACTAAAGGAAATAGCTCTAACAAGATCCGTGGACAACGAGGTATCTTATATTATTTCAATAATATTGCCTTTTTGTCATATACTGTATTAAAACATAAAATCACAGGCTGGTCATTTTGTATCAATTTTTCACTTCAAATTTGAATTTTTTTTATGTTAAAATTTCCCCTTTCTACAATTTTAAGCATCCCTTCCCCCGATTTTTCTATACTGAGAAAAAAAATTACTTTTATCTTGTCGTTTATTGTGGCAACGACCTTATACTATCGACTGTTTTAATATTCAGACCTCGGTGCTAACGACAGCGAAAAGACAAAGTCAAGTTTCAGTCTGATTGTCGAGGTAGAAATTGTGTACGATTTTCAATCTTTAGCAGGACCATGAAGCCATAAAGAGAACTTTCCATGATTAAAGATGTCCTTTATATAATAAATTGAGTCCATAAGGGGTGGTGCGACTGTAATACTAAGCTCAATTTTACTGCAGTAGTTAAGCCAAGTGAAAAAAACAAACAAACAAACGAATATTTGTCGTTCACGTCTGCTTCATTTTTAGGGGGCCGGCCCTCGTTTTTTTTTTATTGTTCTTTGACAACGTTGGAAAGAAAAAACAACAACAATAGGCGTTACGTTCAACACGACTGTTATTCCACAATCCCGCGAAACAGGCGTTACTTTCATAAACTAAACATTTATGAAATACTGAATCCTTTTAACGTTCTTAATGCACCCTACCCGTTGAGATATATCGTAAGACGCATCACGTTGTTGTTTGAAACAAGTATCAAAATTAATCAAACTTGCGGGAATGGGGAGGCTAATAACTTGTAAAGAAGGCTTTCAACTGGAAAATAACAAAAAAGTCGGAAATAACAAAAAAAAAAGAAAAAAAAGAAAAAAAAGAGCCCGCCCGCTCTCAGGCTAGCCTCTCTTCCTTTCTTTGTTTGCTATTTTTATTTATAGAAATCCGGATGAAAAACATTTGTTGTTTCTACTTGGACTTAAACAGCCTGTGCAATGCCTTGTATGACATTGAATTTCATTGCTTACCTACTCACATAATCATTGTCTTAAATTGATTTCCTTACAACGTAGAAAATAAATATTGGATCATAAGCTTTTCTGAGACTAATTTCCTCACTACTTAAAACATTTGTTCGGTCACGATAAGCAAAGCGTACGTGGTAGTATTTACCAAAACCTTGATCTCAAATGATTTTACTTATCACTCAAAAAGCTGTGAATAAGTTGTGAATACAAATATTAAATAAAAAATCTTGGCCATTATTGTCTTCTTTTTAAGGGAATGATTGCTTACTGTTGTCAGCAATGCCGAAGATTTCGGCAACAATTGTACATGGGAATTCAAACTTTAAAACACGGTAACTTCAAAAGAGCGCGAGATTACTTCCACTTAGCATTGAATGAAGCCAAAGAAGGCGGAAACAAAGAATTTATAGGAACTGTATATAACAACCTTGGCCATGCCTATGAATCTCTCGGTGAGTTCAGGAGAGCAATCGAGTTTTATCGGCTGAGTCTACCTATCGCAAAAGAGACTGGAGACAAAGGTTTGAAGGGCGCAGTATATAACAACTTTGGCCATGCCTATAGTTTTCTCGGTGAGTTCAGGAGAGCAATCGGTTTTTTTCAGCTAAGTCTACCAATCGCAATAGAGACTGGAAACAAAGATTTGCAGTGCAGAGTATATATCAACCTTGGTCGTTCCTATAGTTCTCTCGGTGAGTTCAGGAGAGCAATCAAGTTTTATCAGTTAAGTCTACCTATCGCAATAGAGACTGGAAACAAATATTTGAAGTACAGAGTATATAGCTCCCTTGGCGGTACCTATGACTCTCTCGGTGATTCCATGAAACAAGTCGAGTTTTATCAGCTGAGTCTACCTTTCGCAATAGAGACTGGAAACAAAGGTTTAAAGGGTTCAGCATATAACAACGTTGGTTCTACCTATCTCTCTCTCGGTGATTTCAAGAAAGCAGTCGAGTTTTTGCAGCTTAGTTTACGTCTTGCAGTAGAGACTGGAGACAAACGTTTGAAGGGCACAGTATATAACAACCTTGGGGTCGTCCGTGCCTGTCTCGGTGATTTCGAGAAAGCAATCGACTTTTTTCAGCTGAGTCTACCTATAACAATAGAGACTGGAAACAAATGTGATGAAGGACGTGTATATAACAACCTTGGCCATGCCTATGAATATCTCGGTAATGTGAGGAAAGCAATCGAGTTTTGTGAGGCGGGTCTAAATGTCTTAACAGAGACTGGAAACAAAGTTGAGCAAGCAGTCTCATATTACAGCCTCGCTTGGCTTTCATTTCTTGATGGCGACTTATTTAAAGCCGAGGAGTCTTGTAAATCCTCAATAAAACTTTTTGAGGAAATTAGGGCTCTTTTTCAAGGGAAAGACGAGTGGAAAATCATGTTTCGGGATCAATATGATGAACCTTTTACTTTATTATGGCGAGTTCAATTACGACAAGGCAAGGAGGGTGAGGCGCTTATCACAGCTGAAGCGGGACGAGCACAAGCTCTTATGGATCTCATGAACTCACAATATGGCGTCAGAAAATCAATTTGGTCGCCGTCAGAACAGGGCATGGAGCTGATAATGTCCATTTCGAGCCTTCTTTCATCACCCACACTTTTTCTAGCGGAAGAAGATAACATTAACACATTACTGAGTTTCTGGTTACTTCTAAATGGAAAGGAGTTTCAGATGATGCAAAAGGAAATAAATGGTAACTTGACATCATTGATTCTCCAAACATACGAAAACATTGGTGTAAAGAAAGTTGTGGGGAACAAGCCTTTGACATTACAGGAAGAAGACGAAGGTGCTGCTTTGAAAAGATTGTATGACTTGGTTATCGCTCCAGTTTCACATCTGATAAAAGGTGATGAACTCATTATTGTCCCTGACCGTTCGTCATTCTTGATTCCTTACGCTGCCCTTGTGAACCAACATTCCAGGTACTTGTCTGAAACGCTGCGAATTCGATTGGTTCCATCATTAACAAGCTTACGGCTGCTGGCAGAGTGTCCTGAAGGCCACCATAGTACATCTGGTGCACTACTTGTTGGTAATCCGTGGGTGGAAACTGTACGCATTAAAGACAACAAACCGTTCCCGCAGCTCCCGGGTGCCGAACAAAAAGCAGAAATGATCGGACAGATTCTTAACATCAAGCCTCTCACTGGGAAGAACGCTACAAAAGATCAAGTTTTAAGCCGGCTTAACTCAGTTTCTTTAGTGCACCTTGCAGCCCATGGTTGTCCAGAAACTGGAGAAATAATTTTGTCTCCTAATCTCACTGATGCTATAAGACCGAAAGAGGAAGACTTCCTTTTGACAATAGCAGATGTGTTGGACCCACAATTGCGAGCCAAGCTTGTTGTTTTAAGCTGCTGTTACAGTGCACGAGGGAAGATAAACGCCGAAGGCGTGGTTGGAATTGCACCTGCCTTTTTAGGAGCAGGGGCACGCTCTGTTATTGCGTCACTGTGGGCGCTTAGCGAGGAAGCCACTCTGGAGTTTATGAAGCACTTTTACGAACATTTGGTAGCAGGGCAAAGTGCAAGTAAGTCTCTTCATCATGCCATGAAATGGATGCGGGAGTCTGAAGAGTTCAAGGCCGTGAAGTACTGGGTGCCATTCGTGCTGATTGGCGATGACGTGACATTGAATTTCGAGTCAACGAAAGGTGAGGCCCTCCCTTTAAACTTAGGTAAAACATTGATTACGTGTCAAGGTATGAGAAACAAAAATTTTAACCTTTGTCTTATGGATGCGGTGAGGGTAAAAGGCGGAATGAGTTTGCGGAATGGCATGTGGCATGGCTTGCGGAATGACATAATTATGTGGAATGTAATATATGCAGAATGACCCAAAGAAATAAATTAAACTGAAAAGTGCGCCTCTTTTTGGCGCCAATCAATTTGCAAACGCAGACGCTGTTTTTTAAAATGTTGACATACGATGACAATCAAAAAGCCACGAAGGCTCATTGTCGATTAGCCTTTTCCCACTGCCACAAAGATTCTTCTTGCCTTTATGAGGTCGGGCTGGATGGCAGCAACGATACTACATCAAGAAAGTCGGCCATTGAAGAAAAGATGTTTGGAAGGTCACTCTCCCCTCTACTTTAATTTTTTCAGCAAAAGATGTTTGCACCATTAACTTTACAGTTTCCTTCTACCTATATTTGTATTTGCAACCGCGTAAGAAGTGTTTCTTTTTCAGACGGTGAGTACGTGATGGTGACATAATATTGAGAGATGAAACGGATCTTGTGTCTTGTTTCCTTAGCTGCTTGGTTAAGTTTCGGGCACGCGAAGCTAACAGCCGGCGGAGAAGGGCGAGTTCGAATCCTGGCAAATGAGTGTGTGCCTTTTTTCTTTTTTTTTTTCCCTTCCTGCCGTTTTAGCATTTTTTCACGATCAAACGCACACACTCGCACAAACAAGGAAGGTGCGAAGACGCACGGAAAGGCCGAAAGGAGACAGAGAGTAGTTCGCTTCACTCGATAGGGTTACGGTCGATGGGATCTAATAATAACCGCAGTCATAAATGGACCAGAAAAAAGCTGCTCACTCAGATTGGCGTCAAAAAAAGGCGCGGCAAAGACGCGCCCATGTTTTTCAGTTTAATTTATTTCTTTGCGCCACATTCCATATTTTACATTCTGCATAATTATGTCATTCCGCAAGCCATGTCACGTGCCATTCGGCAAACTCATTCCGCCTTTTACCCTCACCGTTATAGATGTTTGGTTTCTGATTGGTGAATTGGAGAAGTTAGCCATTTCATCCAATTATTGCACAACAAGCAAAACAGCTGAAATAAAAACAGTAACAATTCAATCATCAGACGATAGATTGAAAAACACGCTGCAGAGGAAATAAGAAGCATGCTCGTTTGAATTTTCCGCTTCACATGGGGTCAGTTTTCGCCTACTGGCTAAAACGAAATAAAAAAATGAATAAATATATAACAAACTAACGAACGAACGAACGAACCAAATAAATAGATAAATCCACCTTTTTAACGTTAGTGGCCAGGCCGTAACCAGGGTCACCAGCTCAGAAAAAATAATTTTAATTCAAATGCATTACTACCTGCTAATAATAATGAGCATTTCACTTTTAACGTATATTGAAAGAATCACTCAATCTACGTGAAAACGGACGCAACATGCATTCCAAACAATGTTACGCCCGTTTGCATCGGGCTAAAAGTCTTACCGGTTTCAAACTTTGCGCAACAACTCCCAACGAAACAGTGTGCAAACGGACGCAACATGTACCATCCAACAGTATTGGGAGTTGTTAGCCAACAATGTTGCGTCCGTTTGCACATAGCCTTGCAGATGAATTTCAAGAATAAAAGCGCCAGTGGCGCGATGAAACATTCTGGTGTTTCGCAATTGCTTCCTTAAATCCTGACCCTAGTTCAGAAAATAACATTCGGTTTTCTCTTCCATTTCAGACCTGAACCGACCGACTGAGAGAATTTACCCAGACCCTTTTTTCAGGCAGGGACCTTTCCCTGTTTCAGTCCCTGAATATATACTCAATTTCAGATAAAAAGTGCATAATATCATGCGTAAGATAATATTTATGTATGCACGATTACAAGTTCATCAGGCATCAAAATAGTTTAAAAATTTTAAACCTTAATTACATTTACTGGGTTCCGCTAATTACAGTATTAAAATTATTCAATTAAGTATATAAGAAAAAAAAACTGTTTTCCATATGCATGCAGTGCTTTACTAGATATTATAATGAGTGTGCAAAAGTGACTTAAAATTACGTGGGGATTCTGCTTGCCTTAAAGGTTCAGGAAGACTATTCCACAAAACAGCACCTCTGTAGCGAAAACTATTACGGAGATAATTTGTGTGTGGCTGCGGAATAGTTATTTATTTACAGAATCTCGAAAAGTGTGTGGAGTGGTATTAGATCGAACAATAAATTTCGAGCTTAGCTACTCAGAAGCAAGGTCGTTAAGGGATTTAAAAACCATTAAGGATATCCCGCTGAGTACTAAGATTTTTCCAATTTAAATTTTGGAACAGCTGCGATGCATCTGCGTCATAGCTTGAGAAAGTTAGAGCTCGCGCAGCACGATTTTGGAGTTTTTGAAGTTTGTCTGCTAGTTTTATGCCACAGTCTCCCCAAACAACATTACAAAAGTCGAAATGCGGCTTAGTCAAGGCTTTGTAGATAAGATGCAATGTTGCTGGGGGAACAATTTGCCTGACCCGTTTGATAGCTAGAATACCAGAGGTAATTTTTTTAGCCAACTTCTCGATATGACTGCCCCAGGTAAGGTTTGTATCAATGCGCACACCTAAAGATTTTGACGTTGGTACCTGGTTTACGGGAGTACCATTGATATACTCAGAACGGGAGAGTCAGTTAGAGTGTATAGCTTCTGCCTCGAGCCGATTAGCTTAAACTTAGTTTTAGTCATATTAAGTTTGAATTTGTTAGCGGTCAGCCATTTGCTGATCTTTAGCAAGTCTTCATTCAAACATCTTTATCAGCGTAGGTAAGATGCGTATCGTCGGCATACATTCTAGGAGAAGAGTTAGTTAAGCAATTTGGTAAGTCGTTTATGTATAGCAAAAACAATAGAAGATACAACATAGTCCCTTGAGGGATACCACATTGGAGAGAGCAGTTTTTGGAAAGTGAACCACTAAGAGAACATATTTGAGTTTTTTGTAAGCATTTTCTTGAATTCCGTAGGCACTTAATTTAGACAGTAATGTCGTGTGGTCTACTGTATGAAAGGCCGTTTTTTAATCTAGAAATACTACAGCATTAACGTTTCCACGATCAATATCAAAAGCCCAGCTATCGGTCGCCTCTAGTAGAGCAGTGACCGTAGATAGATCAAGCGAAATTCGGATTGACTTTTTGAAATAATGCTATGTTCTGATAGGTACGCGTACTTGATCGAACGTTATTCTTTCGAATACCTTAGCCACCACAGAGATAACAGAAATGGGACGGTAATTGCTCATATCACTAGAACTTCCCTGTTTGAATAAATGAGTAACTTTAGCAGCACATTTCCAGTCATCTGGGAATATGCCTGCAGTCAAAGAACAATCAAAGATCTTGCAAATACTGAGAAAAGCAAATCAAATCAGCACATTCACGACGAATTAGTCTCGCAGATATCTTATCGAGACCGGTTGCTTTTGATTTGCTAAGTTTGTTCAATAGTGAAAAAACTTGACTGCAATTTGTCGGAGTAAAACAGAACCTTTGGTCAGTGATGTTAAGATATTCAAGACAACTATTGTCCGTGGCCGTTAGCTGTCGACGAGATCTCAATTGCAAGTTTCGGGGCCAATTGTGGAAAAATGTTCATTAAACGTATTTGCCAAGTCGGTAGTATTGTTAATAGAAACACAGATTACAATTGGTTCTTTAGTTAGTAGAGTGGGTGTTACTTTTGCGGGATGTAAGTTCGCTTATAGTTTGCCAGGTGGGCCGTGAGTCGTTTTTGTGTTCAGTAAATGATTTTGTAATAAGATTCCTTTGTGATCTTGATGTTACTGTTAACTTTGTTGCGAAGTCATTTAAATTCACCCCAATCCTGTGGGTTCTTTGAAGGTATTGCTTTCACCTTCATGATCACTCGTTTATTAGTTTTTCGTTTAATCGTTTATTAGTTGACGTAGAAAAAATAGTTTAACAGTTAGCTAGCCAGCGTGGCAGGCGTTAAAGGCGAAGGTGAGAGCGTAGTCAGGCAATGCATTTGCAGAAAATAATGCCCAATTCTGCTTTTTGATGAGCTTTTAGTATTTGGCAATTAAACTTTACTTAAAGTTTAATTTATTACTAAGACGAGTGTAATCCATAAAATATGTTACGCAATAACACGTCTTTTTTTCATGAACTAAATTGTTTATTTGAATTTGTTGTCTCTTGTGGTAATTTAAAACACTGTGAAATAAACATTTATTTTACCCTTCGGGTATGTAACTGATTGATCTGTTTTCTCCTTACAGCTAGCTAGTCTGTTCCAGGCGTTCAGATAGTAGAGTGTGGCGTTCAGATGGAAGAAAGCCACCTTATTGGAATGGTATATAACTTAATTTCGCGGGTCTTTAATTTCGCGTCTTTTGCAATTGTAAAAAAATCGCGAAATTAAAGACCCACGAAATATATCCTCGTGAAATTTAATACCCATATAGAAAATTCAATTAACAATTAAAATGTAACAGCAGCGATATGTACCGACAAACACAATTTGCAAACTAGTTTTACTGATTAGCTCCATGTTGTATCTTCCGTTGTGAAATAACGTTAGTATGCAGAGAGTTCAAACATTGCTTGTTCCAGTTTATCTAAATTTTAAAGGTTCAGACCTTTTAAGAAAAAGAAAATGAAGTTGAGGACGCTTAAATTGCGAAATGTAATGCCCTTTTTTTCATATTTGCCTGTTAGCATCCCGAAAATAAAACCCCGCAAAATACTGTCTTGCCAAAATCTCGAAATAGGCCCTCTGCAGCTTTCCATTCACGTGATACAAAACCGCCATGTTGGGAAGCAAAAGTCGCAGTGGGGTAAGACCAACAAAAGGAATACATAATTTTAAATGGTAATTTCCTTTGTTTGTCTTGTCCCAGTGCGACTTTTGCGTCCCAACATGGCGGTTTTGTACCACATGAATGGAAAGCTGCAAAGGGCCTATTAAGTACCAATAAGGCAATTAAATCGACCTAGGGAAAAACGAGGGAAAAAACGAGGGTAGACAGGGGCAAGAGCGAGATAACCCTTGCCTTTTCCCTCTCTAGACTCCCCTCGTTTTTTTTTTCCTCGTCAGTTTTTCTTCCGCGCTCTACTATCTAAATGCCTGGAAAA